ATTGAATTTATATTTATCAACGTTCATAATTGATCATATTTAACAACTAATTTTTTTTATGACATTCACATATAAAGTCACCAAGCATAATCAAATAAAAAAAATTTAGTACAAATTTAAGAGCACATTGACACGATTTTGTAAGTTAAAAACAGAAAAACAGTGAACACAGTGAGTAAACTTGCAAGTTCAACTGAGTATATGGGTGTGTTTGGATGAAACCAAACCATGGTTTGAAGAATAGCTTCTGGAGAGAATAGATTTTCTGAAAAATAGATTTTATGAAAAAGTGATTTTGAGAAGTGAGAGTGTTTGGATAGTTGTTACCAGAAGCACTTTTTACATGTGCAAATTATTAAAAAGAGTATAAGTTAATATGACAATTATATAAGGGATAGATGTTATAATATATTTTGATTTGAGGAATAAAATTGTTAATAAAATAATTTTTACCAACATAATTAATAATATATAAGATAATATAATTAATAAATAATTAATATGAATATATATTTATAAATTATAAGATTAAATATGTTTATAGAAAAATGATTATTTTTTTCTAATAGAAAAATATTAATTTGCTTTAAAAATTTTAAACATGAAATTCTATAACATTTTTTCACAACTATTTTTTATAATAACATACTATCTCTCATCTTTAATATAATTAATTAATTATTACTACATGTGTAAAAATATTTATAAAATATAAGATTAAAAATATTTTTAAAAAAGATGAATAATTTTTTATAAACAGAAAAGAAATTTAAAAAAAAGTACAATGTAACAACATACTACCTCTTTCTGGTTTAAAAAAAAAAAAACATACCACCTCTCTAAACAGTGAAGGACCGGAAGATTGAAGCTTGAGGGGCATATGTGTCTAGTCTCAAAAAGAGATCCTCATATCCATACAACACTCTCCAAAAAGCAGATTCAAATTGTTTTTTCCAAAACCATGGTTTTGATTTTTTTATGGGTGTTTGGGTTATTTTTTCCCCAAACCATGGTTTGGGGAGACACCCAAACACACCCTATAACTAGAACAAGTCTAAGAGTAAATTAACACATTTTTACCAACTAAAAACATAAAAACATTAAACTCAATGAGTTAACTCACGAGTTTGACAATAATAGTCTTTGCCAATGCTTGAGCAATTTCTCACATCCAGGACTCACTTTCCTTTTCAAGAAAACATCTTGAACATTTTACTCAAATAATAAGGGCACATTGAATATGAATATCACGATCAGGTCCAATGATTGAGCAGCTTCTCCCATCAAATAGCCCATGTATATGTTCATGTTGAAGTAAGCAACTTTAACTTTCGCTTGCAAAACTAGTGCTAATCAAGCCAAATGGATCTCTCCATGTTTAAAAAATACAAGTGTTTATATTTTATTTAAAATGCTTATATCCTATTTTATGTTATAATTTCACTTTTTTATTTGAGATATCAGAACGTAAGGAATTAGTGTTTTTTTAAATATATATTCAAATTCAAAATTGACTCATCCTAATAAGTCGCTAGATTTGAGCCGTGCAGAATGTATTTTTATTTTTAATTTTTATCTGAAATAAATAAAACAATAAATAGAAAAAGTTTTAACAGAAGCAGTGTCAGAATTTAGAATTGTAGCATCAACATTTTTTTGTCAATGAAATTTAACAATGTTAGGAGTAAAGAATTGAAAAGATACTTTACAAAATTAAGAAATTAAATTAAGTTCTGATATAAAGTTAGATGACTATAACAACCAAACTTTATCTCACTAGTTGGAATTGGTTAGATGGATCGTGCCATTAAACTCTATCAAAGACCAAATCTTTAGATTTTACACATTATTATCTAAACTATTCGTGCATTATGAACCATCGAATTCAAAGGAAAAATTATTTTGCATGTAGCTATATTTTTTTTTCAAATTTTAATTCGATACATGTACTCTTCTTCTCTTCATTGAACAATTTAATTTTGCTCTGTTGCCACCACCTGCCCTATAACCTTTCTCTGTTAGCATTGTTAGCTTTTGTACAGGAGCTAATGGTGCTAACAAAGTAAAATTAAAGTATTTAATTAAGAGAAAAAAATACACAAGTATCAAATTAAAAATAAAAAATAAGTATATGCAAAATGGTTTTTCAGAATCCAAACTCATGTATAATTAGCTTTAATCACACACATTTAATTAATTACCTGTTTTGTAGGTATTAATTAAATTTCAAAAAATTAGTCAACGCTCATCTATGTACTACTTTTAGTCCTCAATATAAAAACTAGTTTGACATTCAATTAATTCTAAATATAAGAATTCAATCTATGTTATCTTTAATATTATTTATTTTACCCTTAAGTAATCCATTGCTGTGTTTGGAATGCCGCTTGCAACTCCAAATATGCATGGGACAGTGTGTAACCCCAATTCATGGCTTATTTTTACAATGATGCTTATTTGGATTAGCTTTTTCTCAAATGAGTTTTTGGAGAAAAAGTCAGTTACAAACCAAGCTCAAAATTTGAGCATTTTCCATTGGCAATGTGGAGAGAAAAAACAACAAGAATGAGAAGAAAGATAAGAGTATTTAAGTGGGTTCTATCTTGACCCAATAATTTGATTTTTTTTCAAGAAGAAATTTCCTAATAAAATTTAATTATTTTAATTTATTATTTTTTTGAATTTATCAAATTGTATACATATGATATACTACTTATTGCTCTTTAATATAAGACCCCAATAAACTAATTTAAAGAGATTAAGGAAGCTAAATAAATTACTTAATTCATATTCATGTTTATCCATTACATATATTTAATATTCTATAGTGTATTTTCAAAATTTTCTCACTAACTAATATTTTTATTTTATAATTATAATGTTATTTATAATTTAACAATTATCACATTAATATCATATAAACAATACTATTCAATAAAATCAGTATCCTTTTTAGTCATTTTATATCTAAATTAAACTTATTTTTTATTAATCATCCAAACAAGTTTAAGTTTTTTTAACTAACTTTTCATAAACATCAATTCAAACATAAATCACATTATACTAACTTACTTTTACTCTAATTTAAGTTTGCAAATATTAGTTGGAATAAAAGTTAGTTTTGCCATTGCTAATCCAAACACACCCATTATAGTTGGATATGTTAAGGAGTTACTACTAATGAGTATTTAAATATACATGATTAATAACGGTATTTTTAAAAAGACAATATCTATTTACTATAAATAACCAAAGTAACTCCACTAATATCACTAAATTAGTTAATTAGCTTTTGTATCATGCACGAGAGGTAGTATATAGCTAATAGCAGTCATGGAGACACACGGACACACAGATATATGCCTTACCCCTTGTAGCATCGAAAGCCATAGCTACCAGCATACACATAAACGCTAAGAGGCTGTTTAGCAACAGCACAAAAGAGAGAATTTTCCGATAAGGACGTAACATTTTGATAGCCATCAATAGTAACACCTTTCTTGTTGTCCTGTTTCATAAAACAAAAAGCAGAACCGGAGTCAGGCAATAGAAGAATAAGAAGCAATAATCTACAAAAGTAAAGAACAATATCAGTTAAAAAGAAAGGGACAGCTAATGCTGACTTTTTGGTCGCAGGTACCATAGGCTTTTATATAAGGATAATCAGCCTCAGAGGCAATTCCACCATTGTTGGTATTAAATGTATGTAGCGTGTTTCTGTATTATTTTGTTAGTTGTTGGGCCTGCTTTATTCGTTAAGGCCCATTAGGGGTAGTCCAGTAGGTGTGGTCCATTATATGCATCGCGGACTTGTGCATTTTTCTGTATGGAATCATTTTCAGTAAAAAAATAACACAGGAGTTTATTCAGTTCCCAAAATACTCTGATTGTTATCAGTTGGTGACATATTCGAATGCTCTGTTGGCATAGCCTCCTTTACAGCGAGAGCTATAAAGATCACACGACACAAATGTATCGTTGTCTATCTTGTTAATTCCTTCAACGGCTCCCGCTGATGCGAGGGCCTGACAACCTCCTACAATAAAAATCACATAACGTAGTAAAATACACGTAGTACGGAATCCATATCTATTAAGAAAGTAAAACATAAGGCTTTTAGTTTTTTTGGTTTTTATTAAGACGAGATTTCATTTAAATCCTTTGATTTTATAAAGGGTTAAAGTGCAAATTTGTCTTAGAAGTTTTCTATTTGCAGGAGCATTTTGCACTTGAAAGTTTTTTTGAATGCAAATTTGTCTTGAAAGTTTTAATCATAGCAATGTTGCCTCCTCCTGTTAATAATGTTAATTGTTAACTTTCTTAATCTCCCTAAATTAGTTAATTAGGTCTTATATTAAGGACAAAAAATAGCATTATTTAGTACTACCTCTGGTTTTTAATATATGAGCTAGATAACTAATTTGTGAATATTAAAAAAATCAATTAAGTTAGTTATTTATAATAAGTGGGTATTATCTTCTCCTAAAATATTCTTGTTAATCATGTGCATTAAAATAAAAACCTTTTAATATGTGTAATCATCATGGAAGGGGAAAATAAATAAATATGAGAAGCAAAATAGATTATAGTCTTATATTTAGAACCAAATTAAATCTCCATCTATACTTTATATTTAGTACCGGAGATAGTAACTCAAACCCTTTCAGTCCCGAAATGGAGAATAAACTCTTCTAGTGTATGATGTCGTTCCGTTAATAAAATTAGAATTTGAGACCCTATTTAAAAGTTAAAACAGACAAAATCGATTTGACTTAGCTTGACCTAATTTCTGCCATTAAATTATAAATTTTTACCTCGATACGAATAGTCTCAAATTTTATTTATGTATAATCACACGTATATAGTGTGAGAAACTCAAAAGGTCCAACAAAACTATATCTACACATAGTTTTGTTATATTTAAACACACTCACAATGCAAGGCGTCATATTTCCTAATACGTCGCCTGGCTTATTTAAATAAAACTGTTACAAAGGAGAATAACTTGAAGTGGGCCACTTCATATAGAGGAGTAATATTCAGACTTCACAGGTAGTTTCTCCTTTGTAGGGTAAGCACCACGAACAGCAAGTCCACATACTCCAAGACCAAGAGTGCTACTTGAGTTTCGTTTGATATAGATGTAACCCTTGAGACCCCAATCTTGTCCCCATGAATTTCTAACAATCCAATAGTCTTCATCTCCAACCGAATCATATCCTACGATTGTCACAGCATGATTGGTTCTAATCGTGCCTGTGCAGTTTTTCCCCTCAAATATTCCCTGACCATGTGAAAGGACAAAAAAATACAAAAAAAAAAAGTTATGTGGCAATTTTGGATCAATAATCTGAGTTTTAAAAAAACCGTGTAAGAACTACAAACATCATATGAACTCTATTATCCTGTGAATAGTGTGTGTGTGTGTGTGTGTGTAAATATATGATGTTATGAGTTCTACATCACGAAGTCTCACATTTGAAGTGTAATTTACAAGTTCAAGAAGCTCTCTTGACTAGTTTTTGAGTGAGAGCACCTTATGACCTCAAAAATAGGTATCTACGGAGGGCTTGACACGCAGGAGGCTAAGTAAAATAGTCTTTTAAAATTGGACTCTCTTTTTAAACTTTTCTTTAGAACACGAGAGATTATACGTAATGGCATGGAGATGAGACTTACACCCTCGTAAAATCGAAATTCATCTTTGGCTTCCAGAACCACGGTAATCGGCTGATTTGCGGTAGCGCAAGTTAAAGCTTTTTCTGAGTACCAAGTCACATTTTCATAACCAGTCAAAGTGAGTGCATTCTGTTCTTCCTGTTCCACACGATCGAGATCACAAATAAACAAAGTTAGACCAAGAAAACCAACTGAATCATGCACAGCCACATAAGCCAAAATTGACACGTCAATTAAAAGCATCTTGAGTAATAGGACGCCTAAAGAAAAACATGAAAATGGAACTTGCTAAGGTAATAGTAGTGGTAAAAAGGAAGTAGACCTTGGTGGGTTTGCAAGTGTCATTTGTAGCAGTATAGAGATAATCAGCTTCTTTGACAATTCCATTTTTGGCAACCCATTCAAATACACGGTATGGCCATCCTCCATCACAACCCTTGGCTGTGTCAACACAATCTACTAGTTGTTGCTCAGAAAGACTTACACTGTGCCTTCCTGTCACTATTGCATTAAGTCCTTCCATGGCTGCCGTAGCAGCAAATGCCCAACAACTTCCTGATACAATCAATATTCTACAAAATCAGTGTTTATATATATATATATAGATGTTTCTATGTGTACATGTCCAAAGAAATGAAACCTTAAAAAACTCATGTTAGTTTTGGTCTTTAGAACAAGAACGTCAAAACTCACCACATTGCCTTTGATTTTTCACTTTAGTGACAGCTCCTTTTTTCTTCCAATTAATGGAAGGAGGCATGTAGTCACATGGAACATCGGTGAACTCTGTATTTTGTTCTTTGAGGTTGTCTTGGGTTATCACTTCCAACTCAGGTAAGAAAATTTTACTGAACTCCTCGTAGCTCAAATCTGCAAACTTGTTGAGACCCAGACGAGCGTGGTAAGGTGATTCTCTTTTAGCGTTTGTCTCTTTGATAATCTTCAAGTTCTCTTTGAAGATCTCAAATCTCTTGGCTTCCTCTCTCAGATTCTCATACTCTCGTCCGTGTTCCTTCTGCCACAGTTTGAACAGTTCCAAGACTTCTTTCTCTGAAGTGAACCTGTCAAGCTCATCGCTAGGGATACAACAAGAGAGGCATATCAAGGAACAGATAAACAAAAGGAAGAGTAACTTGGTTACAAGGGAAGCCATAGTTCAAATAAGAGCCCGAAAGGGAAAAGGTTACTGACGTTGTATTCTTGGGTATGGATGACTCTGTTTTATAGACCCAGGTTAGAGATCCAGCTATTTATAAGTATATCAACTCAATAATGTTAAAAAGAAAAAAAAAGGGGATAAAACTTGGTTCAAATTGCTTATATAAATTAAGTTTATAAGTAAATTTACAAGTGCACATATCCATTTTAACAACTAATACTAGCAAAATAGTAGATATGATCGAAGAACTTAACTTAATGAATATAAGTAATTTGATTTAATTAATTTTTTTCTTTTGAAAAACTATATATGTTTTCATAATATATACTGCAATATGTCAAAGATAATGTTATTAGGTTCATTAAGAATTGATTCGCGCATAATAAAATGGTTTGATTGATATGCGTACATATTAACAAAAGTTAGGTAATGACAAATGAATTGACTGGTTTAATTTTTTTAATCTCCCATAATAAATCATGCACGTTTTTATTTGTCACAATAAATGAAAACAACTTAACAAACAAAATATGCATTTAATTTATTTATTGTGGGAGCAACAAGGTTTTTAACGTAATATATATTATTGTTTATAGACAATTAGACAAGTCTCTCGCATATTGCCAAACCAGTGAGGGACCTCCTTCGATAAGTAAATGCGGGAGGTAGTCACATTGTCATTTCCTTTGGATATATTAGTGCTAATAATCAATAAACTGATTGGAACATAATAAAATATTTTAGTTAATTTACGTACATATTGACAAAAGCTAGGCAATAAAGTTTTATTCGTTAAAATAAATTATCTTTTTATAACCCTGTGGGCCACATGATGTCCAATATTTTTCCTAGATCATATTGCCAGGTATCAAACAACTGACTAATCTAAATCGAGTTTTGTAGAATCACTGGTGGACAGCAAACTTTTCTAACAAGTTTTTAACACAACTTGAACACGAGACCACTGGTTAAAATGGATTAAGACGCAGCATAAAATGTAATTGTTAATTATGAAAGATACTAGCTAATCATTCCTCTATCAAATAAAGGAATATCCGGAATAATTCTGCTTGTGAATTGAGCTATATTATTTTTATTCATTGCATGTACTTTGATAAATGATGCATCGTTTATGACTCATAAAATATATATCTTATAATATATTTTTGTTATAAATTAATTAACCATATGTATATTGTCTTCTAGGCATTTATTCAATATTAAAACTCTCACGTTTCGTTTTACATCGGTGGTCCATTTTCAGAGGATAGGCTGACAGCTAACTATGGTCCCATTGTCTGGTCTTTGTTTTTTTTAATTAGAGATTGTCTTGTCTTTTGTTTATTATTCAAGCACGTTTAATTTACTTTCATATAGGTTGGTCCTTTTTTTGAAAGATATAACTAAAGTATAGGTTGTCTGTTTTAGGTTGTTTTGTAGTCACGTCTTGACATTTTATAATGGGAACGAAAGATCATTTGACAGTATTTACAGCTAGATAATTATTCCTTGTATCACTCTTGAAATATCACAATAAATTCTTCCAATTAGTTTTTTCGTCATCCTATACCGGTGAAAGAAACTCACTTACCCAATTCATCCTACGAATAGCTAGGGTGTGTATGTTTTCTAACATGGCAGAAAATTTGATAAATGAGTTTTATTACTAGTAACTGATAATAAAATCCGGATTTTATAACATATATTAATTAACGTTGTGAATAATTGTCCTCTAATTAAATCCTTATTCTTTTTTTTTGACCAGCAATTAAATCCTTATTCAATATTCTCCCACATGAAGTATAACATATAAAATGTCGAGCATACTGTACAATTATTAAATTATGGACAGTGTGTTATCTAGTCATTATGATAAATAAATTAACCATTGGCAAAGAAGTTAAATAAATTAACCAGGTGTATATTCGTCTTCTATGTAATATATTCAATATCAATTCTCTCACGTTTTGTTTTACTTCGGTTGTCCATTTTTGGAGGATATATAGGCTTATAGCTACACGTGGTCACATTATGTCTTATCTATTTGGAGCTATTGATGTTGAAGTAATCAAGAATTGATTGGCGCATATATTAATAATAAATTGATATATCAACGTAACAATTGTCTTCTTTTAATAATGGGAGCAACGAGAATTTACTTTGTTTCCAAAATTTATAAATTTTTTTTTTGAATTATTCTTATTGATTGCATATATAAAGGAAATTTTCATAATAATAATGATCAAAAGAATATTTTAGATAAATCAACACATATTTATTATAAATAAAAAAATTAATTTTTATAATATTTAAAAATTAGATATCAAACTTTTATATTTAGGACCGAAAGAATTTATATATGTATGCATAAGTCATTGTCTGCCACGTCAAGTGGATAGCTAGAAAATTAAATAAAATAATGTGATCATATTGCACAAGTAATTCCATTTTGAAACATTAACTATATATCCACCAACTATGTTTCGTCAATGGAAGGAATTTGATTATTGTTAAGCAATGCCTTTGATTTGAGGTTTATGAATTGAGAAAACTACCGCAGAATTATTGGAGAGGGATCTCATATCTAAAACCCAACAATATTCAAATCTAAAATAGCCCATATTGCAAGAAAAAAAATGCGTTATCGATAGAGCCACATTAATTGGATGCTTTGTGGTTTTGATAAATAAAGCATTTCCTGATAAAGGAGTCACATTTTTATATCCACTTAACATGACAGCTTTATTTTATAAATATCTTTGTATTCTTTTATGAATGTATTGCTTTTGTTAAAAACAAAAGATAAAAGACAAATAAAAAATTAGGCAAGAAATTAATTAAATAATAAAAATACAGGGCTAGGAAAATCGATAGGATGTCCGTTGAGCAGCGTTTTGTTTTATCGAGGAGTTCTGTGGCATTATTCTTTCATTTGTATTAGTGTTGGTCCCTGCATTTTTAAAAATAAAATTATTAAAACTAACGTTAGTTTTTTAAAGTCAAAACCTTGTAACCCAGAAATAACACTAAGTGCCTCTCTCTCTCCCCCTAAGCTTTCTTAAGTGTGAGGTCTTGAATTCGAATTCGAATTCGAATCCTCTCTAAAGAGTGTAATGATCTCATGAGTCATGAGTTATGTCAATAAAAAAGTTATATTTTGAAGCTTAGGAACTGATATTTTAAATAATTGAAGTTATAGGGATCGAGTTGTATTGATTTAAAGTTTATGGACTGAATTTATCCAAGTCAAAATTATAAGGACTGGCTTGTACCGATTTATTTAGGGAATTGAGTCAAAGTATAGGGGTCAAATAATTAATTTTTTTCCAATTTTTTAATATTTAAATAATTTTAATTAATTTTCCTAATTTCATTAATAGTGACTTGGTTACAACTTACAAGGGAAGTCGTCATTCAGATAAGAACAGAATGGATTATTATTAACCTAAAATATTTTTGTGTATAGATGAGCCTTATATAAAGAGTCAGGTGAGAGAGACCTTGCAATTTATAAGTAAAACGATCCGATAAGATTTAATACACGCACATATTTTTTTCATGATAAATATAAGTGGTCACAAACTCACAATGTTATTACTTTTGCAGATAATGTTATTAGAGTAATCAATAATTGATTTGCACATAATAAAATGGTTTAATTGAATACATACATATTGACAAAAGTTAGGTACTGAATCGACTTATTCAAGTTTTAAATCAATTATTAAAAAAAATCATAGGCGCATGCTTTATTTGTTAAGAACATATATATTGACAAAAGTTTGGCACTAAATTAGCTGATTGGAAGTTTTAATTTAAATCAATAACAAACAAAGCACGCTTTATTTGTTGCAGTAAATTAACACAGTGTAATTAATACACACACACACACACACATAACAGGATTGCTGGAACTCTCACTTACCCACTACAGAGGTGCCTCTATGTAAAAGTTTCCCTTTAAACTCAGTCTTAGTCATATGTTCCTTTATTGGTTAAAATCAATCTGCCATTTCTTCATTTATCTATGTATAATCAATCAAACATAGAAAGCTTATTGACTAATGACCTCAAAAATAAAACTAAATATTTAAAAGAGAGCATCTTTCAAAGAAGGAAGATGAATCATGTGGAAAATTGGATCTGCTTTCATTAATTCAACAGATGAACATAAAATGTTTCTTCATTTAATTGAATTATCGATGGTTTAGTTTTATAATTAATATTTTTTTCATATAAAAACATATATAGAAGGTAGAAAAGGAATCTTTTGAATGTTAAGTTTAAATAAAAAATAGGGATTTATGAAAAAAGAAAAATTAAAACACTAACATTAAATGCTTATCATAATGACCAGTACCTTGTGCTCATTACTGGGCTAAGATATTTTAATTTGTAATTTTACAACAACAAATTTATTTTTGTAAGAAGTGTTGTTTACAAATTTCACACACCGCATATGCAGTTGATTGATATATTTTCTCTGAAGTAACTAATTAACTAATTTAGATGAATTAAAAAATTTTATGAATTCGATATTTATTAAAAAAAAAAGTGATGTATACTAACTTTTCTCAAACACCACTGTTTTTTAATTCATTACCAACATAATTTTGATGTTAAACAAAAAAATTCTAATTATCAGAGTAGTTTAAATAAAATAATAAATATGAAAAATAGAAATATTGATGTCTTATATCTAAAACTAAAATTAACTCCCCAACTAATTAATATGCAGACCTTCATAGGGATATTTATGCAATATGCGTTCTTCTGATTGTGTTTTTCTTCAGCATAACAGTTAGCCTTATTGATATTTAATACTTTCATAAACTTTATTTATAAAGGCAAATCATTTGCCGCTTAATTACTCCCCATACAAATATAGTTTGCAAAGCTCCAGACACAACTCTCTCTCTCTCTCTCTATATATATATATATATATGTATATATGTTGGTCGGCTTTGTTTGATAGTACGAGGAGGACTTCATATGGAGGAGG